TTTTGCACACCCAAATGCTTGCGGCCAGGCTTGCGCGGCTGCCCCTGCGGCTCCCGGTGCGGGCCGCGCGCTGTGGAGGCCCAGCCACACCGGGCGCCGTCGCCAAGCAGCGCGCTCTGTTCCAGCGGCGGACGCTGGCGACAGCGGTGGCGGGCGGCGCGGGGTCGGGGCGGCGCGCGTTTGATGCGCCGATCGTCGGGCACTGGTCGCTGTTCTGCGCGTCGATGGTGTTTGGCATCGTGGTGTGGGGCGGGCTCACGCGGCTCACCGAGTCCGGGCTCTCGATCGTCGAGTGGAAGCCCATCACCGGCGCAAAGCTGCCGACCAGCGACGCGCAGTGGGAGGCCGAGTTTGAAAAGTACAAGCTGTTCCCCGAGTACCAAAAGGTGCACATTGGCATCGACATTGACGACTTTAAGCGGATCTACTTTATGGAGTGGTTCCACCGCAATATCGGCCGCCTCTTTGGCGTCGTCTACCTGGTCCCGGCCGCGTACTTTGTGTCCAAGGGCATGGTGACCCGCGGGGGCGCCGCCAAGCTGGGCGGGCTCGGGCTGCTGCTCCTCGGCCAGGGCGCGATGGGCTGGTACATGGTCGCGTCCGGGCTCGAGAAGGAGCTGGCCGAGCGGCCCGATGCCGTCCCCAGGGTCAGCCAGTACCGCCTCACCGCGCACCTCTCGCTCGCGTATCTGCTCTACGCCGGCCTGTCGCTGCACGGCTGGAATGTCCTCCGCACCGCGCGCCTCGCCCGCGGCCGGATCCCCAACGCCGAGGCCCTGCGCGCCCAGCTGCTCGCGCCCGAGAGCGCCTCGTTCCGCCGCAGGATCGCCGCCGCGACGCTGCTCGTGGGCACAACCTGCCTCTCGGGCGCCATGGTCGCGGGGCTCGATGCCGGCCTGATCTACAGCGAGTTCCCGCTCATGGGCCCCGCCCTCACCCCGCCGCTGTCCGAGCTGTGGAGCCCGTTCTACGCCCGCGGCGACCCGTCTGCCATGTGGCGCAACCTCACCGAGAACCCCGCCACCGTGCAGCTGGCCCACCGCGCCCTCGCCATGACCACCTTCTTCACGCTCTCGGCGCTCTGGTGGCGCGCCCGCGGCCTGCCGCTGCCGCGGTCGGCGCGGGTCATGGTGCACGGCATGTACGGCCTCGCCTGGCTCCAGGTCGCCCTGGGCATCACCACTCTGGTCAACGGCGTGCCCATCGCCAACGCGTCGGCGCACCAGGCCAACTCGGTGCTCCTGCTCGCCGCCGCGCTGCGCCTGTACCACACGCTCCGCCCGCTGCCCCGCTGCTAGTGGCAGCCCCCCCACCCCCTCGGCTACCAAATGCGGAGCAAAAAAGTAGTCACAGTGGGGTTCGAACCCACGATCCCATCCGGGAGTGGATCTTAAGTCCACCGCCTTAACCACTCGGCCATGTGACTATGCGTCCGGCCAATCCGGTATAGCTTCCGCCTGACGGCGGGAATTGGCGGTCCCTTTTGAACCTTGGCCCCATCTTTTGGCCAAAGCCGCGTTGCAAAGCCGCCTTTTGCCGCGACTGCGCGGCCTTTGGCGGGAATTGCGCTGGGCGCCGGGCTGCCCCGGGCTTACTCGCCAACAAGCTCACTCCTACTCAGCATTGCACACCATGCTAGCAACATGCCTGAATAAGCTTTGTCGACTACCCGACAAAGCAATGCGTTCTATAAAGGCCTATGGCAGAGTTCACGATCTGAGCGCCTTTTATCAGATCCGGCGGTATTGCTCTGCGACACTCGCGCGGCCGGTATGGTACTGTACGTGGATCTTGACCAGGTTCTCAGTGTGGAATATACTGCCACAGATCAGGCACTGAAAGGTTCCAGGTAGCTGCATCTTGATGAGGCGTGTAGGTGTGGACATGTTGTGGTGAGCGGTGGCCGTCTTGACTGAGTCGCGCAACGCTCTATTTGTACTCGCCAAAAAACAGTGAGGCGGGTGCGCCAGAAAGCAACTGCGCTGGTTGCTGGTCACGGCAGGCTACGCATGCAGCAGGTGACGCACAAGTTGTTGACAATAAAGGGCAGGCCGAAAAAGATGCCCCTGCTTGTCCGGGTGATTCAGCGTGGATAGGCACCAACATTACATGTGCAGGCGTTGACGTAGGGCGATTCCACATGGAGTGCATCCACGGGTGCTCGCATTGAGGGCGTTCAGCATGCACCCCACCATGAACTCTGAATAACCCCCAGGCGGAGACGGGCGATGGCATCCAGCCTGTCAATAATATGGCCAGCGCCACTGCTGGTGTACATCATGCATGACCTGGGCAAGGCACACAGGCGAGGCCACGAGTGTGGCCAGTTTGGGCAGACAAAATGTGCACAGTGAGAGCAACCCGCATGCCGGCCACAGCGCTCTACATTCTGGATGCAGCCATATGTTGCGTGGGAGCCAGTGCAGTTCGACCACACACAGTGGCAAGGGGATGTTGCTGGAAAAG